GGAGCAGTGGGAATCACTACCTGCTGGCCTGTGGATTGTTAGCGCAGTTACTGTAAGACAGCAGTCTGGGAAGGTTACCTTTATTCTGATCTTTTTTTTTTAATTCTCCAAAGCTATGCTCATATTTCTCCCAAGACTTCGATGTTGAACTCAGTTACTCAGCTATTTTTAATAAACTGTTAATTCAAACTGTGTCCTTGTGTCATGGATCAAAAATCTAATGCATAGGTGTTTTAACCTCCTGAGGCCCCCTGAGGTCACCCTCTTATTGGAGCATCACATTTAGGCTTTTCCACTCAACAAAGTATTTTCTATTTTGAAAAAGCACTGTTTAAAGGTAATACTTACTTTTCAGACTTGTATTCCAAGCAAGAGCTTGCATCTCAGGAGATTAATCGAACACATCATTACACATTGTAGTTTTTGTTTTCTTTTAATTTTTATAGAATCAGGTCAAGGCTGTCATCCAGACTATTTAAACAAAGATGAAGTAAGCACTGTTATTTTTCCTAATAAAGAACAAGAGATCGTTACGTTTAGATAAAGATAAATATCTATCACAATAAAAGCTCAGAAGCTGTTAAAAGTAGCTTGTTTGTGCTCATGTACATATTTAAAATGCAAAAATTTATTTTAGACATTCAAAATTATTTCAGCATTTTTTTGTTTTTTTTTATAATCTGAAATAGCTGGGACTAAAAATTAGTTTATGCAGATCCATAATTGAACTACAACTCTGTTCCTGATAAATAAGCCAGAACTGATAAAAGCTAATATTCTGAGAAAGACTTACTTACTTTTCTAAAAGCCTACCAAATCACTTTGGTTGACCCTTGCATTCTTACCTTAAACAGCTGATTTTTTTACTCCCCTTTTTCTGCCGCTACAAGTGGTTAAAATCCATTTGACAGAAATTTCACTCAGAGCAACAAGCTGCACACTGAGACCCCTTGCATCCCCTCAGTGCGCCTGCACAGGCAGAGACTGCTGTAGCACTTATAAATGACACAGACAAGATTTGCTTGGGAGGGATAGATTGGGTGTTGCAGGGGCTGGGAGCAATACGTGTCCCTGGGCGTTGTGTGAACTCATCACAACAAATGTCACACTAATCAAGGACTCCTTGCAAGTGAGGGCCAACGGTGGCCATCAGAACAAACAGCTGATTTTTGGTTCTTGGGTTTTTTTTCGCACATTAATCTGATAAACAGGTGCTGATTAAAGTGATCGCTTGTCTTGGATCAGCCTTGGATTTAACTAAGTCTGGCATTAGTCAAATCTTACTTTTTTGCTATTCACCCTTCACACTCACATTGCATAAGTGGAGAAAATGTGAAGTCTAAGTGATGAAAGTCTGTGCAACTGCATTAGATTTAACTGAAGTCAAAGTCAACTTTATTGTCAGTTCGGCAATAGGTGGACATACACAGAAGGAGGGGAAAAACACTGTAAAGAGAATTCATGATTAATCGGAAAATGTGCTTTGAAGGTAACTAATAAGGGAAAATACATCAACTGTAGAGAAGCAAGGAGGAGGGATTTAAAAGTCATCAGTATCTGAATAATGCAAGATCGAGAGATGAGGAAGAAAGTGTGTGAGGAGTGATTGTACAAAGCGATACCTGACCAGGGTGCAGAAAGTTTTTGTGCTTCGCGAGTGGAATGCTGAGTAGAAATTGAGATAGAAGGGAAGAAGCCAGCTAATGTTTTTGCCTCACAAAATAGTTAATTACTGTGAGTGTTAGAAAAACACTTCAGGCATTACCTGCAGTTGCTTCAGGTTGTATAATTAACACGTTAAAACGATTATATCTCAAATCTCTATGGACTCTGACCACAGAAAGAAGTCAGAGGGCGGAAATTGTTATGGCCGGGCAGACTGGCTTCTTTTTTGCCTTTAGTTTTCGCTTTCTCAAAAGTCCACAGCTATAGTGTTGCTCTACATGAAGTTGTTAAAATGTCATAGTATGTCTAAGAATAGTGGCAAATTGTAAACCTTGTGAAAAATGTGAGAATAATGGAACATATGCTTAATCCGATACAATACGCCTCTTTGTCCTCAGGTGTAAACCCATGGAAGAAATGAGAGGGCAAGACAAACTTCTGTATAATCTCATCTAAAGCTAATCTCACAGGAAAATATGGGATGATTTGAAAATCTTACTCAAATAAACATAAAGGACTAAAATATTTCTTATGTGCAGTATGTACAGTCAGAAGTCACATACTCTGGGCATGAATGTCATGGTAATTTTGGGCTTTTGATGATTTCTCTGAACTGTTGTTTTTCCAGGGTGAAATGATTGTACAGCATACATTTTAAGCATAAGTTTGAATTTATTTGGGATTTTATTATAATCCACACAAGTTCAAAAGTCAGAGTATACTTACAGAGTCAAATCTTAGCAAGGTGCATCTCGACCTGATGGTTTTAGTAGCCATCAACAATACTTATGGTAGTATATTTGATTTTGGGGGGCAAAACTGATTGGTTTCCTGACAAAGATTCGCTTTTAAGCATAGTCCAGAGAGTTTCAATAGGGTTTGAGGTCAGAGCATTGGGAACACCATTCTAGGTGTTAGCCTGCTTTATCCATTTCAAAACCAGTTTTGATGTGTGTTTGGGATCATTCTCATGTTGGAACTACTGCCTGTGTCCAAATTTCAACCATCTGGCTGTTTGGAGGTAATGTACCAGTACTACTGGCAGCAAAACATTCCCAGAGAACCATGTTTGGCAGCTTGTGAAGTGTTCTTAGGTTTAAAAGCGCCACATTTACCCCTCCAAACAAAACTCTTATCATTGTGGCCAAATAGTGCAATCTTTGTCTTCGTTTGATCATAAAACCTTTTTTCCAAAAAACATTTGGCTTGTCAATGCAGGCAGCTGCGAGTTTAAGTCAGTTGGTCAGCAACCACTTGGTTCATGGCGAGGTAAAACTTGCTTCACTTTAAAGTAATTAAAGATATATGCTCTAAAATCATTGAAATCTCAAAAAAAAACCAAAAAACAGAAATGACATTCATAACCATGATGAGTGTATGTAAAGCAGCATAAAACATCCGTCTATGGACCGTGTATTCACCCTCAACAAAATAATGATGTTATGGCACTGCTGTGTGTTCTGGACATGGCTCAAAACACATGTAAGGTGGACCTGAGCTGAGCAGAGCACATTTAGGCCAAACATTCACTTTTGTCTGCGTGCCATAAAAATTCCTTCTCGTGCTTTTACAAGCGTCCTGTGAGCCAAAGCTTTTTTCACATTGTGTTGTGCTTTATGTGATTTTCTGCTGCAAACAATTTGTTTTACTTTTCACACGGCGACGAATGCATAATTACAAAGCACTGTTGTCATCAACAGATCACATTTGTCATGTTGCTGAACCCACACTGCACAGATAGTGCTACGTGCCAGCATCCTGGTGCGCGCTGCTATAACACATTTAGCATCTTGTTACTTTCATAAGAAACATTCCTCAGCTCACACATAACAGTTAGAATTAAATTATAAAGTGACCACAGATTGGCTCTATTAGATGTGACAATTCTAATAACAAATCGATGACTGCATTGCTTGGCAGAGTCAAAGATATTTTATTATGGAAAAAATAAATAAATAACTAACAGCATGACCCTGTTGAACAGCCTATAATGCCCCCTGGGGAAAACACACTAATGGCCTCTCTCGACTGGGAAATGAAACGGTGAACAAAGTCTGGACAAGCAATCACAGGACACTGTTATGAACCTTGGAGCCCATGTCAAGGGAGAGATGAACAGCGTGCACTGAGGGCCAGCAGTTTATTATGAGCAATAAAAGCTGCTTGGGCAGTAACTGAGCAGGACATTTGTTTCTAGCTGCGGCATGAACTGTTTGCTTTCCTCAGATCAAGCGTTAACATTTTAATGAGGGAGTCGCCAATAATCTGAACAAACTGTAGATACGACGTGAACGTTCAAGAAATGTGCTGATATCATCATTACGTTTCCCAAATATGGGATGAATAAGTAATTCCTATCTTCTTTTTCCTTTTTTTTTTTTTTGAGAATCATTTACTCATAAATTCTAGTCGTAAGGAATAAGAACCACATTTAGATTGCCAAAGTGGATTTTCCTAACCTGGCTGCATACTCTGAATGCTGCTGATCTTAGAAGCAGTATCTTTTACCTGCAGTAGCCAAAGCAATTGGTTATAAACTCTTTCCAACACACACAGTTTTCTGACAGATGAGACTTTTCTGTGTGTCTTGATGCAGCGCTGAGACAGTCTTCATCACATTTTCTATTTTGAGCTGTTGGTGTTGAACATGCGCGTGGCTTTTACAAGAGTCACTACTGCCCCCTCGTGCAAAATGCAAAAATGCAATGCTGAAATCACACCACATGGTTTTACTTAAGTTATTGTTTTAATGGTTGAATGTCAAAGCGCATGCATTACACTGACCAGTTTTTACAATCTAATATTAGGTTGCCCATATTATTAGAAAAAGTCTCCTGTTATGTGAAGCAGAGGTTCAGAACACCCTCAGTTCTCCATGACCTTTTACAGTCACACCATCAGTCATGTTTGGTTGCTTGGACAACACCAGTAATATTAAGTATTATGCAACAAAACATTATGTTCTCTCCTGCACCGGTGGAGGAGGCAGTTATTACTCCCCCCCTCCCTTTTGGCAAGTAAAAGAACACAGTGTTTCACAGCAATGAGCCAATTTGTTTCATTTAAGCCAACTCGAGTCCTGTGATCATGGAAAATATGCAGCTTTCCTTTTTAACTTTCTTCGCCCTGTGACTGAGCACTGGCATCTATCAGATTAACACTTGTGAAGCAGACAGTGGTCACTGCAGAGGAAAAGGTAGCAACAGAGCAGAACTCTTGATGAAATATAAGAAATGCTCCTCGAGCTGCCAAAATAGTTGGAGAACAGCCAGGCAAACATAAAGCAGGGCAAAGATACAGAGATTTGATGGTTAAAGAAAAACACAACAATTTAATTAAGAATCATTTGGACCATTTTATTGCTCTTTTTTCAAATGCTACTTCATTTAAAAAAAAAGAAAAAGAAAAAAAAATTATTCCTTCTGAGTAACCTAGGATTATTTGATCACATAAGACGCTTGTATAAAATCGTTAACATCAAAAATATTACAATAATTGCAGATTCAGAACCAGAAAGTCCAAAGAGATCAAGATGTGCAGCTCAACGCACAAAGTGGAAGACAATGTGGCTTTTGTGTCCAAGCTACATGGAAGCGATTGCTCAAAGCAAGAATCAAACCCCTATTTGCACTAAAAATCAGAAGTGACACCAACTGTGCGTGTCATTTCTTCAAGGATCATCGATATTTCAGGTCATTAGGATTTATTACATTCAGATAGGCAAGGACACCTTAAAACCGAATCAGTTAAAGTTACCAGTGAATACTTCAATAAGCAATAAGTAGCAACAAGCATGATCAAGTCATTTGTCTAACGTGTGATTGGCATATTTCACTGCTCATCCAGCTGTTACTAAATTAAATTTGGATAATGCATAGACACCAATGTCTCAGAAAAATATCCTTGCGCACTAAAAAGCAGTAGCTCTTCCAGAACCAGAAGTTGCATTATCGTAATAATCTCACAGTGATTGTTGATTTGCATAAAACGAAACAAATACATATAACACACAAAACAATAAAAAGATTGGAACTTGATTAAGTTAACATATTTTGAACAAGTTTTAAAATTGAACTGAATCAGACTCAGTAACATGTTGATACTTAAGTGTATAGGAATATGAAGCATGGGATGGGCTAAATACTTCTCAGCTCTTCCCAGCTTTCAACTCTTGGACCATCAGGAGGAAAACAAGACTTTCTTTCTCCTTAATATTTTATTCATCCAAACTAAAATTGTTAAATAAACATATTTAGAAATTTTTATTTGCTTTTTGATAAGAAATGTGGGTGATGCTGCCCCTTTAAATCATTGCAGTTTGCACATAGTATTTAAATGTATCTTAAATGATTCAGAGATCCTAGTGCCAGTTTGTCTGATTTTTAGGGTTTTTTTTAGTATTTGATCACAAATCAATGCACAGCAGATATATTAATATATCACGCCTGGCACCTACAGTATATAAGAGGTAGTGCTGCATACAGGTGTAGTACATGGATAAATCCCCACAATGGGGACGACACAGCTGAGTGGATACAGATCAAAGAAACTTCAAATTTCCACAAAAGGTTAAATGGCTAAGTTGTATTTAATATTCAACCAGCAACCTTTATGAGTTTAAATATAATAAATAAAGAAAAAAGGGGAGCAACAATCAAGATTAGGAAACAAATATAGTAGTTCCAGTCTGCGTGTTGATGAACCATTTACTTCTTGCCACATTCAAGCATGTTGCATTATTTTTCTGGGGGTGTTTATGAACACGCATCTTTAGATGGATGCTTCACATCAAGTTCCTCGTGTAAGTGTGCATAGATTAGTCTTTTGTTCACTAAAGGAGGACTCTGAATCCTCTGTGCAGTACCTCCACTGTGTTTGAATCTCCAAGGTTCCAAGAGCTATGCCTTAATACCCTTAAAAAAATAATAAAAATAAAATAAAAAAATAACTACTAAACACAGTACTTAAGAAGGTTATGTGGGATATTATTAAAAAGAATAAGTGAAAGTGGTGTGTGTGTTATGAAGCTCAAAATTGGATCTCTGGGTCTATTTGATGATTACCACAACTCTAGCCTGATTCTTGTTCCGTTATTAACATACAAATTGGGAAGATTAGGAAAAAACTGTGTGACCTTGTGATGTCCTTTTGTCTCCTGCAGTAAAATGATACAAATGGTCTTGTGTCAGCACTTATTAAAATTCAGTACCACCAAAGTCTTTCAATGACAAATACTTTTCCAGCTAATCGGATTCAAATCCTCGCACGTGGCATATTAAAAAACACTGTTATGAGGCAGTATTACAGTACAAAAAAAACCTAAAAAAAACTAAAAACAAAAGAGAGAATGGGTGTGGTTTCTGTGTAGTGCTGGTTTTTTCACAGGACACTTTCGGACCCTTTCTTGCAGATGAAACAGCTGTCCACAGAGTCCCGGCGTATTCGAATCTGAGGTGAACCTTTTTTGTATGAACCGCTGTCGAGACTGAAAGAGGCAAAAAATGTTACGCCTCAGGAAAAACTTAAAAATCACATGGTGTGTAATATGTGTACATTTTGCCTTTTGAATGTACAAATATTCAAATGATAGCAGGTTGTCACTTACTTATCCACAGACGGAGAGAAAAAGTAGTGTTCAGCACGGTGTATGGGGTTGAAGGAAAGTCGACGATGGAAGTCCTGGTGGGGGAAAAAAATATGACAAAAAAACTTTTTATAACATCAATCAATCATGAATTTCAAGTAGTAGGGGGGGGGGAAGAAAAGCAAGCACAGCAAAGCTGTTTTTTGTGTTAAAAGCCCAAATGGGCTGCTCAGAAAAGCATTAGAAACAGACAGGAAAGCATGCTGATCTTTAAAGATGTTAAATGTCATATGAGTGAAATGCAAGAGGGCTAGCATGACAAGAAAAGGAAGCCTTTAGTTGGAGCGGCCCTTTGAAGCTAAAGCAAAGCAAATCCTGACTAGTACTCACTATCCAAAGATTTATCTCCCAACATGGGCTCCTGTTCCATCATATCCATAGAGATTTTTATACTGGGGATATTATTTGCATGGTAGGGGTAGTCAGACTGTGGGAGGAGGGAATGAAAACATTAACACTCACGGATTACTTTGATGTGGGGAACTGGACGATAACCGTTTAATGAAACTGTATCATGCCTTTCTTTTTTGAACGCATATGGACATTTACTTACAAATTCAATTTCACTGTCAATGCTTCCCTTCTTCTTGTTTTTCTTTTTCTTTTCATCTTCTTTCTTCTTCTTGTCTTTCTCTGGGATGACATCATCCAGGTAGCTGAGGTCATGCTGGGAGAACACGTAGTCCATTCCTTTGCGAACAGCAACCAATGCCAAAACCTTATAAAGAGAGGAAAAGTTTGAATCAATTAAATGTTCAGGGCAAAATACAGAGCTCTGTGCACTTGTGACTGGTCACATCAGCCTTGCTTCACCATGACAGGGAAAATGATGGCAGCGACAGTAGATTTGAGGATCCACAGGAAGGCCAAGCACAGGGCCTGGATGAAAGTAAAGAGGTGGATGCGTCTCTGGGGAACGTGCCGCAGGTAGATCAGGTCCGGCTGGTGCTTGGCAGGCATGAGGAGCAGCTGCAAGCGATCCATGAACTGGATCAAGGAAACAGATAAAAAGTTCAGTAGGTTAAGAGATCAGACATGCTGCAGTTAGAACCTGGAAAACAATTCAGAGATTTTATACTCCTGTATGACTTTTCGTTTTCCAATTTTGGTTGATACTCTGAGACAGCAGTGCTACGCAGTCAGTTTTTTTCCTGTTAAAATATCCAATAATGTACCAAAGTATAATGTAATCCAAGTATTGATAAATTACCTCCGCCAAGGAGGTTATGTTTTTGGAAACGCTTTCATCCATTCCATCTGTAAACTCAATAGCTCAGAAAATCCTGAATGAATTTCCATCAAACTTTGTAGACATGTAGATTAGACTCATGTTAAGAATCTGTGAAAGTTTGATTTACATCACCAACGTCTTCAAGGTCAACTTAATAATTTATGGGTTGAAAAATGACAAAAGGCAACTATGATTCTTACAAGTGTGGTGTTTGTTGTCAACATATAAAAAGTATCATAACAATATTTAAAATATCCGGTCACACTTCCCTCTGACCTCTCCTTCATGGTCTATAGATTGAGCTGAAGGTCATAGTGGTAATATTGATGACTGAGAGAGCTATTTAAAACTGTGTTTCTTACTTGTATGGTTTATACTGTATTGACAACAGTGAGGACTCTAAATATCACATTACTTTGGGTGTATGACCTCTCCCTCAAGGTCAACATTACACTGTCAAGAGAAAGAGCTGCCTAGTTAGTCAGAAATATATGCTCTTATAATATTAAGCTCAAGCTATTCATCTCCACTTATTTACAAATCAATATTGATTTTCCATTACCTACATGTGTAATCAAAGTAAACATCCGTCACGTTATCCTAAAGTAAATACTACCCAGAGAGTGAGCTACTTCGGCAGAGGTTTGCACTCTCAGAGTTTTCCATCCATCCATCCATCCATTCACTTCCGCTTATCCTTTTCAGGGTCGCTGGGGGCGCTGGAGCCTATCCCAGCTGTCATAGGGCGAGAGGC